CCTGCTCATGTGATCCATTTGAGTTTCAGCCTTAGAGTGGGGTTTGTCCTGAAGGGCCATGATGGCTTCCCTGTGAACAGCTTGCTTATTCTTGTAGTAGCCAATCAGACTGCCACTTTTTTTCTGGGTTTTTCTGATGCTCTTTCTTTGAAGATGTATCTTCTGTTGTTCTAGCTGTTCCAGGTTGGTTTGCTTGTCCTTTCTAGTGGAAATATCCTGCCTCATAAGGTTCCTGATGGGACTCAGGATTCCACCTAAGGTCCCATACACTGCAAAGGCTCCACAAGAGGCATATTTCGCTGGGCAAGTTCTAGAACCCCTTTTAGGTATTCCAATCAGTTATAGGCTAAAGATGGGCTTACAAGTTTTCTGTAATCATGTTTCCCAACATTCTTTTCTATCCCACTCAAGTGTCTATTTTACAATAGTAGGCAAGAGTAACCAATATTCATAGGACAGTCAGGCATCTTAGTATGCTTTCCCCTCTTCAAACTATGCTTAGGTCCCTGTGTCACAAAGCCCTGTTGTTCCAAGGTTGAGCATGCATCACTATTTACCTCTGTTCCATTTAGCCCATGTAAACCTGTCTCAGTGTTTTTGTATCTACCTTGTTCTTTCACACCCTCCCCCTTGATTATACTTTTAATAAGGTTTTCATTTAAAGATCCCCAAAGAAGCTAGATTTTTAAAAAATGAAATACCATTGCTCCCTCCCAACCCACCTCCCAGCCATTTTCGAGAGATAGCCCAGAGCCCAGTGGGAATAGCACAGGGCAGACTTGTACCTCAAGGTGAATCCACAGGGGGCCTGGAAGGGACTCGCTCTGGTGAGTGAGGTGACAAACATCATATCAGAGACTCCCAGACCTGGGGGGGCTTGTTAGAAATCCAGAGCGAATTGTAGGCCCCAGCACAAACCTCAGGGGTGGGCTCCCAGATGTCTTCATTCAGCAGTTTCTGAGTTCTTAAGTGGCCATGGAACTGAATGATCTTGAGTTTCCTCCCAAATTCTATGATTCTTGAGCTAATTCTGACAGATCTCACAGCTTCTATTGGAGGAAAGTTAAGATGCAGGCTTGGCTCTGGGGCGGGGAGGGGAGGTGGGCATTGGAGCTGCTGGTCAGCCCCACCCACTCCTCCAGGTAGACAGGGACATACTCTGCTGTTGTAAGATGGGTGCTCTGAAACAGAGCAGGCCTGTGTCCTTGAGCAATAGAGGGTGAGTGAGTGGTTTATCTCAAAGAAGCCCACCTGAGGTCAGGCAGCGCAGACCAGGAATCTACAGTTTCTGACTCCTGCTTCTGCCCCAAGAACAGACTCCATCTTTCAGGCAGGAGAGCTGGTGGAGCCTGCAGTGCCCAGACCACCACCGGTCCTAAGAGGTTCACCCCTCATCACAGGCAGGCCTGCCTTGTGGAAGCTCACTCCCTGGAAATTCCTGGGTGTTCACTCTGACTGGTAGCTACAGCTCAGTGAGTCCCAGCTAAAAAATGCAGGAGGTACAGTGTAGCCTGGGAGGAAACTCAGGCTGGGCAACTGTCCTTGGGGGAAGCCATCAGGTTTCATCCCAGACAGAAGTGGGACTGCCTGGTTTTGAAGCTTGCCCTACCACAGGTGAAGAAAAGGGCAAAAGTGCAAATTGCCCCCACAGCCCGACCTGAGGCGCGAGGATCCCAAGCCTCTGTCTGTCTTGTGCCTTTGCCACCTACAGCACAGTAAGGTGCACAGGGCCTTGTGGCCTCAGGGACATCCAGGCCCAGAGGTTGCCCTTCTCATCGCTGGCCCTGCAGATAGGGAGGAGCCCAACTGGGTGGGTACCAAGCTCCTCCCCACAGGAACCAGGGATTATGAGGATCATGTGGGGGTGCATCAGAGGAGTATCTCTGCAGCAGTGAGGGTCACTGTGGGCCACTAAGGTGAGCCCCTGACTGAGGGAACCTATCTCTGTGGAACAACAAGGCATGCTGTAGACACATCTGCTTCCCTTTGATGCCAGGGGCTCCCAGCCATAGCCACACATATATAGGGGGGCGGGGGGAGCAACTACACCTCACACGGAGCTTTAGATGCCCCTGTCTTGATTTACCTCCCCCTCAGGAATGTCCGGGAAACATGGCTGGAAGATTCTGGGACAAGCTGGGGAATGTTTTATTCTCTGTATGGCTCTAGTTTACTAAAATTTATTTAGCCTTTAATTTCTTACCTCTCAGGAAATAGATTCATTGGTTACTTGTCAGAAAATAGATTCATTTTGTCACAAAAAGATCTTATAAACATCAAATGATGCCAGCTATAAGAGTCTGCAATGAATCTAAGCAGAAGTCGTACCATTTTCCTTTATGGAGATAGTTTACCTCAGCAGTTACTGGGCAGAGCGGGCTCCTGATGGTGTTAGTAATGGAAGTGTCAGATTGGAAAGGTGGCAGGTGCGAGAAACAACACCCAGAGACTCACATTGCCTGGCAGATCTGCTTCTCCAAGTCGGTAGACTAAATCGCGCCCCGCCCCCTGTCAGGCTGAAGGTTACCTAAACACTGCAGCTGTGCTCATGTGAGCAGGGTGTCGGCCTGGACCATCACTGACCCCCGTGTCCACCTGCTCCTGCAGAAATGCTGCCTGTTGCTCCATGGCATAACAGCACTGAGCTGAGTCCCACCCGCCTCCAGGCCTCCCCATTAGCAGCTGTCCCTGAGCCTGTTTAGACACTGCAGGGAATGGCAGACAGCCCCTTCCCCAGCCCCAGTGGACAGGAGCCAACCTCAGCCTCAGGGAGGCACAGGTCTGAGCCATCCTGTGAAGTACAAACTCAGGAAAGATGAGCATTGTCGGAGTTGAGTGGGGTCTCCCAGCGACTGCAGACCCTGAGGAACCTCACCATGGGCAGAAGGGTGAAGCTGGAGGTAGAGGCTCTCTTGACTCATGGCTGGGAAAGGGGCTTTTCTCCCTGGAAGACAGGATGTGGCAATGGCTTCGGCCTGTGTGACCCTCGCAGTTAACTCAGGACCACAGCAGTGTTTGAGCTCGTTTGTTCATAAGCAAACAGCTGCTATCCAAAATTGATATATATGTGTGTTTTAAGCCAAATTCCACAGTAGTTACTTGTTTATTTAGACAGTGGGGCACAGCCGTGGTCATGTCTCCAGCACCCACAGGAAGGGGTGCCGGAACCCATGGTTGGAGCCTCAGAACTGGGAGTCTGCAGCCGTGTCTCAGTGCCTAGTGCTGCTCAAACACAAAGACTGCAGTTGGGTGCCTTAAAGAAAACTAAATGTATTTTCTCACAGTTCTGGAGACAAAAGTCCCATTCCTTCCTTGCTGTGGCCCCAGGCATTCCATGGCTTGCAGATGATCCCCCCACGTGGTGTCTGTCTTCCCCCTGCGTATGTCTTTGTGGTCGTTCTGCTCTTTTTATACCTTAGAAGTCATTAGGTTCAAGATCCTCAGAAGACTGATTGCACTAGATGCCGTTATGGAAGGTCATTACATGTGACACAAAGGTGACTTTACATTGCATATTTTACATATGCAACAGAAGATTCCAGCACATGTTTGCGGGGCCTGAGTTCAGTCTCAGAGCAGCGGGACTTTAACCCTGGGTGCAGCCTGCAGGGGAGATTCCTTCCTCCTGAGACGACCCCTCTGAGCTTGCAGTCTCAGCCTCCATCCTGTTCCCAGACCTTCCAATAAGAAACCCGGGACTGTGGGACCTTAGGGAGAATCTGGGTTGACCAGTTTCATCTGGTGGACATACTTCATTTTTGTTGGATTGGGGTTTGAAGACAAGTGGATGGTAAACACACACACACACAAGATGAGCTTTTGTGGAGAGTCTGCCTTGGGCCTGGGATTCCTCACAGCCACCTGCAAGTTGTGCTACATTGCTGCCATTATGCAGATGTGGAGCCTGGGGCTCTGAGAGGTCAAACTGCCAAGGTCACACAGATTATGGGCCAAAGATCTGATCCCAAGTCAATGCTCTCTTCCCCTCAACCCTAAGGGTCCCGGGAGGAGTGATTCCAGATGGCACAAATAGTTAATTAAGCATTTGACTAGTAGCCGCAAGGTTGGTGGTTCCAACCAGCCCAGAGAGGCTCCTCAGGAGGCAGGTCTGGCTTCTGAAAGGTCACAGCCTTGAAAACCCTAGAGAACAGTTCTACTCTGCACACATGGGGTTCACCATGAGTCAACGTGACCACAGCTAACAACAATCTGTAAAACCCCTGAGTTGGGCTCACACATCAAATGTTGGTATTACCACCCATTTCCACAGACGTCCAGGAAAGAGGGGTGGAGCAAAGTGGTCTTCTGCAGAGCACACTTTCCCCCAGCGTGGCCAGCTTGAAGGCCTGCATGGCTTAGTCCTGTGTGGCTCGGTCCTGTGTCCCGGGTGACTCACTCCTGTGTCCTGTGTGGCTTGGTCCTGTGTCCTGTGTGGCTCAGTCCTGTGTCCTGTGTGGCTCGGTCCTTGTGTCCCGGGTGACTCACTCCTGTGTCCCGTGTGACTCAGTTGTGTTCTGCCTGGCTCAGTCCTGTGTCCTTTGTGCTCACTCCTGTGTCCTGCGTGGCTTGGTCCTGTGTCCTGGGTGACTCACTCTTGTGTCCCGTGTGGCTCAGTCCTGTGTCCTGCCTGGCTCAGTCCTGTGTCCTGGGTGACTGACTCCTGTGTCCTTTGTGGCTCACTCCTGTGTCCTGCGTGGCTCGGTCCTGTGTCCTATTTGGCTCTGACCTGTGTCCTTTGTGTCTCGGTCCTGTGTCCTGGGTGACTCACTCCTGTGTCCTGTTTGGCTCAGTCCTGTGTCCTTTGTGGCTTACTCCTCTGTCCTGCGTGACTCGGTTCTGTGTCCTGGGTGACTTACTCTTGTGTCTTGTGTGGCTCGGTCCTGAGTGACTCACTCCCGTGTCCTATGTGGCTCATTCCTGTGTCCTGTTTGACTCTGTCCTGTGTCGCTCGGTTCTGTGTCCTGAGTGATTCACTCCTATGTCCTGTGCTCTCTCAACAGCAGCTGAAGCTCGTGGCCGAGAACCTGAAGGAGGAAGCCAGTGGCTATTATGGGAAGGAGATGGCCACCTGAAAGCCTGGCCATGCTGGCTGTGCTGTCCCCACTGCCTGTGTCAAATCTGCCACTTCTGCTCTGGTGAGGAGGCTGTGGCCCAGACCCACTGCTCCACTGCATGAAGGGGGAATCACATGCAGGTGCCCCCGGATGTTCCCAGCTCCTCCATCCTCTCTCCCCACCTGCCAGCTCCTCTGTAATCCCACCTCTGACTGTCCAGACCAACTGCTGCCTCCAAGCCTCACATTAACGGCTACTGCCCTTCCCCACCGTGGCCCAGGAACTGTGGACAGGCTGGCAGATTGTGGGTGCCCACCAGGCCCCGCAGAACTGCTGGGAAGTGACTGGTGTGGTGAAGCAGTGTTCCCGACTCCAGGCCAGCGTTGAACACCTCTGTCCTGCTCTGCTCTTGCAGTCAGCTCACAGATTCCCTTAGCAGCAGAAGCAGCAGTCACTGAGCTATTAAAAGCTACATGCACCTCTCAGACTCCGCTTCCCTGTCCGATCTGAAATGCCCTGGGTTAGGGATCTAAAGGTGGCAAGTGACGTGGGGGAGCTTGGCTTCAGGTGGGACACAGATGGGCCACTTGCAAGGCTTTGCAGCCCAGGTCCTGGGGGATTCTGCTGCTGGGAGAGGCTGCCCTGGGGGAGCCGAGGCAAGACCCACCAGGCACTGTATGTGCACTCCTGGCACCCTGGCCTGAGCTCCACCCCAGGGGTGCCAGCTGGGGTACAGCCCTCCAGGCACAAAGCCTGTGACTTTGGAGCCCCATCTTCCAGCTCCTCCAACTGTGTGCTCAACATTCAGCCCCAGGAGATGATGGGAAATCTGCTGTCCTCAGCTGGGCCCTACAGTGTATGGGTCCCTGCACTGAGAGAGCCACAGATGTGCCGGCGGCCCGTCAGCAGATTTGAAGATCTAATGGGGGCTGGGGAGGATGGGAAATGAAAAGGTCTGCCAGCCACCATCTCCCTCAACTCAGTGGTGGGAAGCTGACATCCTCCTTCACCGGCATGAGGGTGGCCTTGGCGGGCTGGGTCCTGCATCATGGGTTTTGGAAATCTCATCTGCCACTTGGTGGTTATTTATGTGGGTTCTGCAAGAGCATTTGAATTATATTCAGGTGTCTCCCTGTCCTGTTCATCCGTCAGTCCCCAGCACTTCGTCCAACACAAGATACCTAGGAGCTGGCTTTGCCCCTGAACCTTCAGGTATGAGGCACTCCCGGGAATTGTTCAGTGTTTGAGCCACACTTTCTAAATGTGTTCATGTTTGGAAACACCAGTCATGGCAGCCACCAATACAGACCTAAGTGCTTACACCCCCACCATCTGCCTCTCACCCCAGCTTGGGCTCCTGTGTTTGCTGCAGAGGAGTTCTAATGGGGTCCTTGGCCCCAGCCCTTTGTTTGCCCCAGAATCCAGCTTTGGGAATCAGCCATGTGGACGTGGTTGTGAGACAGTGGGTTCTGGGCACCCTGAGTTTGAGTCCATCTCCCCACCCTGCAGGCTGCCCCGCTCCCCTGGAGCCCGAAATGCCAGCGCAGATCCAGCCTTCTCTGCCGTCGTGACCATCCTTCCCAGAAACCTGTGCTCTGCCTTACCTCAGTGTCTCATTGAGCAGAATGACACTTGTCACCAAGCCTCAGCCAGTCACTGCACAGGAGAAAGTGGACCCTGGGCACATGGCCTCATGAGGAGGAGGATGGGAATGGAACAATAAGGTAGTCATAAAAGAAGCGGGCGGGAGGGGGGCGGCACTCTCAGGCCTTTCAGGCTCCCGAGGGCAGGGTGGACCCAGTGCTCGGAGGGGGTGGTGGCCCGACAAGGCAGGTACCCAGAAACCAAGCAGCCCAGTCAGTAGGGGACTGAGGTAACCTTTCAGCTCCACGTTTGTCTACCTGTTTACTGAGGTAAAACAATCTACCTGCATATATATATGTATGTATATATATACACACACATATATATATATATGAAGCCATTTGCCAATTCCTCAAGGTCTTACATGCAAACTTCAGTGATAATTACATTCATGTTGTAGAGCCATGACCAGGATCCCTCTCCACATACCCTACCACCATTAATAGAAACTTCAGGCCCTTAAGCTAAGACTCCACCTTCCGCTTAGCCCCACTCAGTAATAAGCTTTGGCCTCTTTCATATAGGTTGGATCATAAGTATTTGTCGTTTGTGACTGACTTCTGTCACTCAGCATGTTTTCAGGGTTCATCCATGTGTGGCATGGATCAGAGATTGGCCTTCTCATGGCTGAGCAGTACCCCGTTCTAAGTATGTACCACATTCTGTCAGCTCGGAGTTTTGTAGTCTCTTAGTACTGAGGAACTGCATTGAGGAAGCCATCTAGAATGAGGCTGCCCCATCCCACTGAGCCAAATGCTGGCCTCACATATGTAACATGGGTATGTCTACCATTCATCACTTCCACCCAGAACCCCTCACTCCAGTATGCTCTTTAAACTGTACCTCATCTCCTCCAGTTTGTGGCCACAGACTTGGCCCATTCTGGTCTCACCTCAGCCCTCAGATCAAATACCACTGCCCTTCTGGCCATGGTTGTGGGAGGCTTCTGATGACGGTCCACCTCAGCTATGGTTCCTTGACATTCCTCGTTCTGCTCGTCCAATTCTCCATATACCTCCTGCGGACCACACATCTACAGCCACCTTCTCCAGCAGCTAATAAGACCAGATATGGATGTCAGAGATCGCAGCCACGTGTCCTGGTTAAGAAAAGCTGTGTATGGAAATAGCACAAAGGCAGTGTCTCCTGATACCCAGGCAGAGACAGAAGCTGGGAAATGACCACGAGTCAGAACAACCTGCCCTTTCTCAGGTGACGGCGTCAGGAGGGAGAAGGCACTTGCCCACCTTGAGGTAAATGATGGCCTACTTAGCCCTATCATCATATAGCTTCCAGGGAAGTCAGTGAGACCAGACCCCACACTGGGAAGGTCTTGGGAAAAGAACCCTGGTCACTCTACCATGGCCTGAAGGCCCAAGGGAAGTGTGTGCCAGCCTAGTTCTCAGGCACAGCCATGTCCTACTAGTCGTGTAGGGAGGGAGACTCAGTGCAGAAGGCTCTACACTCCCTGAGGGTCTGAAATGATCACAGGGCTGAGGGAATGCCCCATAGAGGCTCCCAGGCTTGTAGAGGCAAGGGCAGGGGTCGAGCCCAGCACACTCAGCTCTTCACCTGGAAGATGGCCCAGGACCCCTGACTCCTTTGACCATTGTACTGGCCCCTGACTTACCTCCTTCAGGCTGTGCATTGTAAACTACCACCCAGTAAGTGGGCATTTGTCTGGGACCTGATTCACTTTTCTCTTCCACGCACAACAAGCCATTCCCACCTTTAGTTCTGTCCACTAACGTTTGTTGGGCACCTCCCTGGGCAGAGCTGTCACACCCACACATGACTCCCCCTCTTACCAGGAGCACCGCTGTGTTGCCTCAGGGCCTGGCCCCGCCTCTGCTGGCAGAGCCCAGCACAAGGGTGGGATCAGGTAGCATGTCCTCCTGTCTCCTGGTGGCAGTCAGACACACAGACTTGAGGACAGATCTTCAAGGAGTAGCTTTCAGAAGGAAAACAAACAAATGTAGAGGATAACCCAGCCCTGCGGCAAAGTGAGAGAGCCAGGGCCCAGTCTGCTCCTCAGGGCCTTGACACACCTGGGCACACTGTGCTCACTTATCCCCATCTTAGAGCCAGGAAGCTGTGTTCAGGACCAGCATCATGCTACACATGGGTCCTACCACCCATTCGCAATCCAGGCCTGCCACGCATGACTGGCCACCTGTGTCCTTGGCCATCCCTACCAGAATGGGGCTTGTCACCCACACACCTTCAAGCCCTCGGCCACAAGCCTTCTCTCCTCAGCCCTAAGTCCGGCAGTTCCCACCATCTTCCAGGGGGGAAGCTAGCAATGAGGAGGAAGGGCCAAAGGCTAAAGGGCAAGGACCCAAGCCTGGCCTCATTAGCACCGAGTTCCTGTGAGTCATGAGTACTGACAAACATGGCCTGGCTCAGGCTCTGGGTGCCCTTGCTGCCATCAGGTCTGTAGAGGTGGGGAGGCTCCAGGTGTCCCTCCCTAGGAGACTGGCTGCACCTCCAGAGACCCAGCAGAGCCTGGAGGACAGGCTTGGACCCTCTGCCAGGACAGCTGTGTCCTGAGCGTCCTTCATCCCAACCACAAGGGAACGCAGCTCCTTCAGAAAAAAAACAAACCCAGCACTGGCAAATCAACTGCAACCCGTGCACACCCTGGTGGGCAGAGTAGAACTATTCCATGGGCTTCAGAGGCTCAGATCTCTCAGAAGCAGACCCCCAGGCCTGGTTTCTGAGGTGCTTCGGGGTCTACTCGAACTACCAATCTCATCTAGCTATGCGACCAGGGCCACCACCTTCTGTGGAAGATGCTTTTCATAGGCCTCTGAAGAGCCTCCTTGGTCTTCTCATCTATGCATACATCGGCTCCTAGGGAAGATGGGGGGAACTGCTCATCCCAGCAATCTAAGAGTCAAAGCTAGGGAGCTCCAGCCCAGGGGACCCAACGAAGAATGTGGTCACAGAGCCCTGTGAGAGGACTACCTGGGACCTCGTTAAATGCAGGTGCCCGGCCTCTTACCCCAGGCCTGCTGAACCACACTGTGGTGGTCTGGCCAGGAGTCGGCACCCTTGAAGATGCCACCAGTGGGTCCTATGCACATGGAAGTTGGAGGACCATGGAAAGGCAGTGAATCTTGCTGGTTTCTGCCCAGAAGTGTTTGATGTAAAGGCTCCCCCAGGCCCTCCTCCTCCCCAGCTGCCTTGTCCCTACAGTGCCAGGATGAAAGTGCTGCCCAGTACCAGGCCAGTCATTATCAACCACTGAATAATAAACCAGACGGCAACTCAATCGTGTAGACATGGAGGAGAGGCTACCTAACTTTACATCACTGGCTGGCTGGAAAAAAGAAACCAAATACTCTCCACTCTCACAGAGATCAAGGAGGCAC